TTCACAAAAATGAATTGCAAAGGAAATATGGTATGGAAAAAGATAGGTGTTCATAGAAATATTATTTATAATGACATCAGTATTAGAAGAAATGGTCATTATATTTACACAGAATACTATATAGGTGTTGAAATTATTATCTACATAGTTATGCTTCAATAAGAAAATGGCTTAAAGGGAGGCAGAGGCAGGTGGATCTCTGCATTCAAGTCCAGCCTGGTCTACATAGTGAGTTCTATGACAGTCCATCTACACAGCAAGATCTTGTCTCAGAAAAAAAATCCCATAGGGCTGGAGAGATGGCTCAGAGGTTAAGAGGACTGACTGCTCTTCCAGGGGTCCTGAGTTCAATTCCCAGCAACCGCATGGTTGCTCACAACCATCTGTAATGAGATCTAGTGTCCTCTTCTGGCCTGCAGGCATACATGCAGACAGAACACTGTATACATAATAAATAAATCTTTAAAAAAAAACCATAAATAATTCATACTTTTTCTATTTTCAAATTTTATCACAGCTATGTATTTTTTTTTTTACAATAGAAGAAAACATTACATGAGGTGATTCTGCCACACCACCTGTGGTTTCACTTCCCAAAATTCCATTTACCAGTGGTCAGACACAGTTCTATAATATCCAATAGAAAGTTCTAGAAATTGACAGCTGTAAGTTTTGTACCCTTCTGAGCAGCGTAGTTAAGTCCCATCTTGCCTCACTGGTGGTAAATGACCCTTTGCCCAATGTGTCTTCCGTATATACACACCCCTGCTCTTAGTCACCCAAGAGCCATCAAGGTTCCAGCTCAGTTGTCATAGTTCATATTTAGCCTTTATTTTAGTGGTCTCAGAGTGCAAGAGGCACAATGCTGGAAATTTGGGTGGGCAAAGAAGCCTGAAAAGTGCCTTTGAAGAACTATCTCAGATACCATAGGAAAACAAACACAGATATTGGCAACACTGTATGTAACTTTTGTTAGAGTCTATGTAGTAATTGTTCTGTTTTGTTATTGGTTGCCACTTAATCTCTTACTGTGCCTTATTTAGAAGTATGTTTTCTTATAGATATGTATGTACAGGAATATGTACTTAGAATTTGATACCATCTGCAGTTGCAGGGTATCCATTGGAGTTGTGGAATGCGTGTTTCATGGACAAAAGGAGACTTGTAAAATGTCTAAGGCAAAATAGTTCTTGTCCCATAATTTTTATAGCAGCCCCGGAAGCCCAGACCCTCGAGAGCCGGGTAGCTTCCCTGCGTTCCAGTAAACATGGATCTGGGGTTTGAATTCAGGTAATCTGGCTATGTGTCTCTTACCTTAAATTGTGTCTCTCAGGCTGGAGAGATGACTCAGGTTGAGCATTGACCATTCTTCCAGAGGTCCTGAGTTCAATACCCAGCAACCACACGATGGCCCACAACCATCTATAATGAGATCTGATGCCCTCTTCTGGCCTGCAGGCAAACATGCAGACAAAACACTATATACATAACAAATAAGTCTTTTTTTTTTTTTTTAATTGTGTCTCTCAGCCCTTAGATATTAATGTCTTGTTTCCTTGAAATAGCTTCCTGAATCTTCCTAGAGGGTCAGATGTAGCTTTGTGAGCTCCTGAAGCTGGAAAACTGCCACTAGAAAGTCCTTGGTACTGCGATTGAGCCGGCTGTGACAGCCTGCTTTCTGCTGCTCTCTTTCCTCGTTTTTGGCTTTTCCAACTCTCTGTGCTTTGCCTTTTCTTTTTTAAGGTATGGTCTCACTAGGTAACTGTGGATGGCCTGGAACACGCTATGTAAACCAGGCTGATCTTGAACTCACAGAGTTCTCTGTCTCCTCAGTGCTAAGATTAAACGCCTACACTGACATACCTGACCCTTTAGTTTTTTAATTAAATAGATTGTGATGCAACCAATATACAACTGTCTGTAACCATTTAAAATGTAAGACTTTGAAGTGTTTGGTTTCTTGTTTGTTTTGTTTTTCAAGACAGGGTTTCTCTGTGTAGCTTTGGAGCCTATCCTGGCACTCGCTCTGGAGACCAGGCTGGCCTCGAACTCACAGAGATCCACCTGCCTCTGCCTCCTGAGTGCTGGTATTAAAGGCGTGCGCCACCAACGCCTGGCCAGTGTTTGGTTCTTTTGAGAGGGTCTCACTCTGGAACTCACGCTACAGCCCGGGCCATGCTTCTGCATGTTTCCATCCTCTCTCAGATTCCCTATTGGTAGCGCTCAGTGGCTCTCCCCCATCATTGAGATTTGTTGGCATTCTGTGGAATTTTGCTGGTAGAATCATAGATTTTAATCGTGAATTTTCTCCTTTCAAATTAGCTTCTTCCACATAATTTGATTCATTGACTTTATTCTGTGTGTCAATAGGTTGCTTCTTTCTGCTGATGAATGGACTCCATTGTGTGAGCATTATTTCCAGTGATATGCAAGTTCCACATGTTTTGCTTATCCCCTTGAGCTACTCCCAGTTGGGTTTTATGAGCACAGTGCTGTAAATGTTCCTCTCACTTTCTGGGCTATCCAATTTTGTGTTAGCTGCATGTTTAAACTATAAGAAACTGAAGGACCATTTCCACATACTTTGTCAGTTCCCATTCCAGCTAGCTAGGTATGTGAGCTGCAGATGGATGGCCCTCTCCTCGTGTGTCATAGTTCCCACCCTGTGTGTTTTTGAAGGTGCTTTGCTTTGATGGGTATAGTGCTACCTCATTATAGTTTAATTCACTTTTTTCTTTGATGAGTGGTGATTCATTATCTTTTCACGTACTTCTGGGCCATTCTTTGATGAAGGGCTTGTCCCAGTTGGTAGCCCAGTGGCCTTATTCTGGAGTTGCATATATTTTTCATATATTTTGAATACAAGTTTTATAGATATACTTGCAAATATTTTATGTCAGTATATTGCTTCTCTATTTTCTGAACAGTACCTTTCAAAGAGAAGGTTGGTTAATTTTTAAAATTCATTTATTTTTATTTTATTTGTATGTGTTTTGCCTTTGCATATGTCTGTGTACCAAATGCATGTGGTCCCCTCAGAGGCCAGGAGAAGATATTAAATAAATCCCTGGAATCAGAATTACAGAGGAAGATTTATACATTTTTATTTTATGTGTGAGTGCCTGCCTGCATATGTGTATATGTATCACATGTGTGCCAGTTCCATCAGAGGCCACAAGAGGGCATCAGATCTCCTGGAACTAGTGTTACAGGTAATTGTGAGCTACCTAGTATGGGTACAGGGAACTAAACATGGGTCTTCTATGAGAACAGGAACAGCTCTTAACTGCTGAGCCATTTCTCCAGCTCCAAAGGCAATACATGGGCGGATGGGAGAGTTTGTATCTGTATTAGTTACTTTTCTGCGGCTGTGACAAAATACCATGCCCAAAAGCACCTTACAGATGACAGCATTTATTCTGGCTATGGTTCCAGAGGGATGAGTCCATCATTCGGGGAGGCAAGGCAGCAGGAGCAGGCCTGGTGGATGGTAGAATCAGGAGGCTGGCTGATGACATCTTTACACACACGTGAAGCGGAGGGGGAGCTGGAGGTGGGGCAAGGCTGTAGACCCTCAAAGCCCTCAGTGAGTGCCGCCTCGAAGTGATACAGTCCTTTATCAAGGCTCCACAGCACGAAAGGCCCGCAACCTCCACCAGAGGCACCAGCTGGGACCAGGTGTTCAAAATGTGATGTTGTCAGGAGGAGCTCATTCAGACTTCCACTGTCCTTCTTAAGCAATACGTGTAGCTCTCCACATTTGAGGGCTTTTGGTATGAGTGCAGGTAGGGAATCAGTTTTCTTTAAGGGGCTGGCTACCTCGAGTTTGACCATGCATGGGCAACACAAGTTGGACTTGGTTTTTTTTTTTGTTTTGTTTGTGTTTTTTTGTGACTTTTTTTTCTTTTCTTTTTTGGCTGGTGGGGGGAGTCACAAAGATGGGGTGTGTGGATCTGGGTGGACTAGGAAGTAAGTGTGATTTGGGGTACATGCTGTGAAATTCTCAAAAAGTCAATAAAAATACTGTATTGTAGAAAAAATAAGTTAGAGAACGATTAAGGAAGATAGCTGATGTTGACTGACTGCTGGTCTTCACACATGCACTCACAGGTGTGCGTCCGCATGCACACACACACAGTTTTCAACCTGCTTATCAACCATGGGTTGAGTTGACAGAGGTTTGATTTGGGGGAAGGGATAATGTTGAGTCTTGCAATTCTGGAAAATATACTGTATCTAATACCAGCTTGAGTCAGGAAAAATGGCCCATGCTAAGAGCGCTGGCTGGTCTTCCAGAGGACTAGGGTTCAATTCCCAGCATTCATAGGGTAACTCACCCATAAGCAGTGCACAGATATACATGCAGGCAAAATAGCCATACACATAAAGTTAAAAGAAAATACCTGTTCATTAATGTAATCATTACACATGCTTCATGTACCACATGTATCTTATGACAGAGAATGATCGATACCAGATAATATAAATTCTTAAATAAAAATGAGTATATGAATAAAATTTCTAGGATTTTCTTTCTGGTTTTGAAAAGTGTTTTTTAGACATGTCCTGGCTGTCCTGGAACTTGCTATGGAAACCAAACTGGCCTTACAGTCACATAATCCACCTTCCTGAGATTAAAAGCATGAACCATCTACTCCAGTGGGTTTCCCTTCTGTGCCCTAGTGTATTCTCCCTCCGCTTTGAGGCCATCACATTGTTAGCTAGTCATGAATTAAGAGTGCTTTGCGTAGAGTAGATTTTTTGGTTTTGTTTTCTCCAGTCCTGGAATGGAACCCAGGGCCTTGTGTAAACTAGCCAAACATCCTCTTGCTGTAGTTTTTGGGGATTTTTAGCATGTCATCCATCACTCTTTCATGTGGTATCAGTGCTGGGCAGAACACCAATATCCACATAGGCTGAAGGAAATGGCAAATTCACATCTCAGTAGATTAAGTAAACTTACTGTGCTAACTTCTTTCACTTAATCCATTCCTTAACAGATATAAGACACCCTGAAGAACTTTCTCTCTTAAAAAAACCCAGAGATCCCACAAAGAAAAAAAAGAAAAAGCTAGATGACCAGTCTGAAGATGAAGCACTTGAATTGGAAGGACCGCTTATCACTCCCGGATCAGGTGAGACCCTGACTAAACAAAGGCAGAGCGTGAGGGCCCTGCATTGTGTGTGTGTTGTTAAGGGTACATGAGGCATATAGGTCCAGAGAGTGGTCCAGCCCTCTTCACCCTCTCTTCTCAGTCATACTAGTGCCATGTAGGTCCTCTTCTGTGCTGGTCATATCATATGTTAGTAACTGAATCAGTGAAGAAGAAACCTGGTTCTTTGCTCAGGTCTGGAAAGGATAGTGCCATAATTGGACTTAGTTTTTTAGTTTGCAAAAATTGAAAGCTTTTTTGTAGGTAGACTGTTGGGGAAAAAATCACTATTTTGTTGATACATTGGTACCTAAAACCTTACTTAATTACTTAAGACCTCTTCTGTGGTGTGTATATCCTGGTCTCTTTGCATCCCTACCTTTTTCTTTTAGGAGTCATTCTTTGGAGATGCGATCTCACAATCCCACCCATTCCTTCCCCAAGCTGAATTGGGTATTCTCCTATCTTTAGACTCTTTGGTGTTTAATATACTGATTTGTGTCTCCTAATAATTGTGCATTCCTTGCACAAAGGATGTGTTATAGAACAACTGGTTTCTGAATTGTTTACAAAGAAAAGATTTTAGAAAGATTGTTGAGTTTATTTCTAATCATTTTGGAGGAGGAAATGGGTGGTAGCTCACACACAGTAAAAGAGACTAGTTGTGACATAAGTTTTAAAAAGACATGTTGGTCCTCCGTCCGTATTTCTGATAGAGGCACTAAAACTCTTGTAATAAAAGCCACAAAGGAGATTGTGCAACAGCATGCACCTTCTAACCATACCGAGTCTGTGCTAATGAGGTAACTTTTGGGAAGTCCTAAAGGATGGGACTGGTTATCTGATAAATCAACTCTGTGATTAGAGGCTTGCTACCACCCACACCTCCCAGACATCTTGTGGAAGGGAAAAGGGCTGGAGGCTGAGTTGAGCATTGTTACAGTTATGAAATACCTGTGGCTGGTAGCTCATAAAACACATTTTTTTAGCTGATAGTGTGGTGGTTCAAGGGCATGATGCAAACATGGTTAAAGATCTTGTGGCTGATGACATTCATTACCATGCATGAAGGAAAAGATACCAGAGTAAGACTCAAGGGGTTAGACTTTTAAAACAACCCCCTCAAAAGAACTTCCCAGAATTCTACAAACATTATCTCATTTCCTTCTGGAGGCGGTGCACCAGTGGCCTGAATAACTCAGGACTAGTCACTGTCTCTTAAGGGTCTAGTACTACTACTTCTTAATGCCACCACATTGGGACAAACTCACCCCTTTTGTCCCTGAAGAACAGTCACAACACCACAACAAAACCATGGTGATAACCAGGAACTCTCCTGCCTTTGTAATTAAGCCTCTCAAAACCCAAAAGAAAAGTGGTTGGGGCTTCCAGGTTGGTGAACTTACCCAGGTACTGTGAGGAGTGTTCCCAGAGAGAGGATGTAGCCACCGTGTAGCTTCCATCTGCCTGTGCCTGAATAGATTCCTTTTGTTATGAATTAGTGATGTAGTGAGAGAGTTTCAGAGTGCTTTAGCCACTCTAGCATATTATAAAGACGGTCATAGCACTCTGATCTAGAGCTGGGATTAAAAGCTCAGGTGAGCACATGGACTGCGCGTGGCCCCAGAAGTCACCCAGTGTTAGCAGATAACTGTGGAAGATCTCTTCCAACCAAAATGAGGGATACTTTTGGGCCAAATAATGTCTTCAAAGTATAAATACATACATACTCCCTTTTTTCACTTTTTTTAATATAGGGCTAAAAGCCCTTTAGTATGTGTCTGCTGGCCAGAGTTCTGAATCCTTTTATATAAGTGTGTGTGTGTGTGGGGGGGGGGGGTTACACATGTGCAATGCCCAAAGATGCCAGAACACTGAGTCAGATCTCCAGAGCCTAGAGTCACTGCTGGTTGTAAGCCACCCTGCATGGGTGCCAGGAACTGGAAGAGCAGAGCAGTAAAGAGTTCTGAAGCACTGAGCTCTCTCTCCAGTCACCAAAGTCCAGATTTTTACATCTCTTTATTCACAGTCTTTTGTAATTGCTGTTCCTCACTTAATTCAGTAAGTTAGTTTTGTTTCAGGTGAGTGGAGCCTTGCTGTGCAGATCATTCTGATCTCACACATACCTCAGTGGTAGCCCTAACCCTCTGCAGCCTGCAGGCCTGAGCTGCCACACCATCGGGGACGTTGTTTTAGTTTGTTTTGTTTTTTGTTTTAATCATATACCCAGAGCAATTAACTCAGCTGACCTAGACTCTTTTTGCATTTGTATTTTCCAACTTTACTCCAACAATTATACTGGCTTGAATAGTTTGGGTGTACAGAGTCACTTGTTTTGTTGTTTTTTGTTGTTGTTTTATATTGGGGGCAGTGGGAGAAAGTGGGGTTTCACTCTAGTTTAGAATTCATGACCCCCCCCCCCCCAGCTTCTGGCTAGTTCCTTTCCACTCTGACCACAGCTGCTATTTATTTCTGGACTGTGTGTCATTCTTCAGTTCTCCCCTCAAGCTTGCCTTCAGACATCTCTGAGTGTCCTAAGGACACTACTGGACAGCTTTGCAAGAGACCTGAATTTTTATTTTCATTTTGAGATTTATGTAATTTTGTGTGTGGGGGGGGGGGTGTCATGCCTTCATGCATGTTTTGCGAACACCATGTGTGTGCAGGGCTCACAGAGGCCAGAAGAAGGTGTCAAAGCCACTGGCACTGGAGTTAGAGACAAGCTACCATGTGTGCTCAGTCTTTCCCACTGAGCCATCTCTGTGGCCCATTCAGGAAATCTTTTTAGGAAAGGAAAGCCAGAGTAACATTGAAAGATTGCTACTGTTGAAGGCCTCTCCTAGAGCTACTTAATTTCCCAAACAGGACATGCATTGCTAATGTCTACCTCTAGCCTCTGTTCTGACTAATAGGTAGCATGAGAAATTCAAACTGAATCAGTTGCCTGGAATCAGACACCCAGGAAAGGGAGAGCCAAGGTTTCCGTCAGTGCACCCTTAAGCTCTGACCATCTAGCCACATGCCTCTGCCTCCTTACTGAGGACATAAAGGCCCTCATTTTAGCAGGCAGGGTTCCAGTAGCCAAAGGCCAGAATCTAGCTTTTACTCATTATTTTTTAAACTTTGATTACTTTAAAGAAAAAGAAATTTCAATTCCTTAAGGAATCCATATTGTATTGTATAGTGTGTGTATCAATCAGAACAGTTTGAGGTCACCCACATTGAAAACTGCAACATGGAAGATCTTGTCAGTCTCGGGTACTAGAATCTGGGAAGCTGAGTTAGCTTTGTAGCCCAGTAGCCAATCAATAGTGACTACACGTGTGCAAGGAATTCTAAGACATACAATTGTTTCAGTTATCCAGAGGTGGCTAGAAATAGCTTCTGAGTATGAGAAAGATGAGAAAACCCTGTTTATGTAGATATCGGCAGAGTCAGAAACATTAGGTAATACAGTTGTAGTTTATTATTTAGGCTCTTTTCCCCCTGCTAACCCCAATTATGCTAATAGTGACAGAATATAAGAAAGCTGGCTGAGATGATGCAAAACTGCTCACCCCCCCCCCCACACACATACACACGAGTGAAACAGAGTTCACGCCTTTAATCGTAGCACCAGAGAGGTATATAAGATAGGAGCAGGGTCTTGGATTCTGGCATTCAGTTTCCAGTCACAGGGAAGACAGGATCTCCATTTCAGCCTTGGGAGAGGTAAAAACTGCTGACTGGCTGCTTTGCTTTCCTGGTCTTCAGGCAAGCTTTATTAAATCATAAACAATATATTACCATAAAAGACTAATATATACTGCATATTGTTCTTCAGTCTGATTATTTTTTTTTCACTGACCAGTATTTTGATGCTTTTTCTATAGCAAAGCAGAGAGTTCTCTCTCTCAAAAGCTGCTTGTGTAAAAACTATCTCTTATCTACTGCGTGGTATTATCTTACCACATAAACTGCAGAACGTTGCTGTACTTGATGTTCCCATCAGTCACATATGAATAGACCCTTTACATTCCCTCTTCGAAGTGTTGAGTATTGTGAATCTTTATACATCTTTTTACCATTTGACAAACGGTATTTCAGGGTTACTGTAGCCTCATTTCCTTGATAGGTGCTATAAACACTGGAATGGTAGAATGAGGTTTCATATATAAGCCCCTAGCTCTTCTTATTTTATTGATTTTTCATGTGCCTAGACTGATACTGCTTATTTGTTTTTCAGTCTTTAGTGATATTATCCTTATGTTAGAGAGTCTCACCTGCACATAAGCATTTAATGTGTTCCAATACAGCAGCCCTCCCAAGAGCCACACGAGACTTACTATCTGCAGTGAATTGTGTGTAGTGTAGAACACCAGAATATAGTGCTCTTTGGACGGTTTTCCTTTTGAACTAGTTCTGTTTAGTTTTTAAGCTATCCCTCCATATTTTGTTGCTGACTGAATCTGTTACTTCATCTTACTCTGTTTGACTTCTGCCTGAAATAGATATAAAAGCAGGCAAATAGAAAAACAAGTTAGGGTTAGCCTTTGAGCTGGCCCTGAAGGAATTTAAACTATGCATGCCCTCTGACCCAGCAGTGCAACTAGAATTGAGAAATAAGTACAAAACTACTGAAGCTTCGCTTGCCTTGCCACCAAGAGTCTAAGCAATCAGACACACATGGGTTGAGAATGGTCTGAGTTGTACTGCATGAAGGCAGTGTGCAAGCAACCGAGACTGGCTAATTCCTGTCATGGCCCCGCAGCTTGCCGTCTCTTGACTGTGAACAAGTCCTTTAGCCTGTGTGTCTCAGTTTTGTCCTCCAGGGTGAAAACAGATTTGTTGGGACACTAAATGAGTTGTTATCCTGTAGTATCCATAAGACAAATAGGAACTATAATAAGTAAAATGCAGTCTAGGGTTAAAAATGGGCTCCATTAACATACTTTCTGTATTGAGAACTTCATAGAGTTGTCAATTTTACCTTTACTTGGCTCTAAATAATTCTAGTTCATCATACTAGGAAAAAATGTCAATATTCTGGCATTCTTCATGAAGGGTTTATTCAACAAATGTTTTTTTTTTTATAAAGTAAACAGGTTTCTGCCTATTAGTCAATATTTTCCCATTATACTGCATTTATATGTACTCCCTTAGCAGAATCACTGTCTGCCCAGATGAGCTGGAGAAGTGATTCCTGCCTTTGGTAAGTATGGGCACCATTGCCCTTTCAGTGTCGTGATTTTAAGTTTAACAATGACTCACTCCGCTAGAGAACTGTGTCCCAGGATCTCCTTTAAAGGCTGAAGCAGAGTTCATAGTTCCACTCTGGGCCCCATAGCATTCCGATGGACAACCCAGGACACAGGGCTATTGGGTCAGATATGGATGGCTGACAAGATTCACTATGCTCAGTAAAAGTCCTTTCCATTCACGTGCATTCTTACTGCTTCTGTGCTCATATATCCTTCAGTTAGACAACCGGGAGAGTTATTAATCCTCTTCTTTCCACATCCAGTGACAGTGTGGCAGCAATTGCATGTTTTCTTTTTTAAAAGCATGATCTTAGCCAGAGAACGAGTCAAGAGGATCGCTCTAAGTATGAGGACCACGGTGTGAGACCCTGTCTTACAAAACAGGCAAAGTTAGACAGGTTTTTACTTGGTGTCTTTGATAGCCTTAGTTCTGTTATTCAAGTGAATGAGCATGTATTATATCATTAGCTAGTGTGTTTTATTTACATAGTCCCTGCTGTATGCCTAGCCCTGTCATACTGAGGGGTCCTTAGATAAATGAGGTAACGCCGCTGACTTTAGTTCAGCTGTATATAAACCAAGTCACGGTAGGCTTGATCAAAGCACAGCTTCATTTTGCATCGGACAAAATATTGTGGTGTTTATGTTGAAGCTCCTGAGGTTTTGATGCACTTACTCTTGGTTCACAGTTGGGGCGAGTCTGTTTCCCCCTTTTCCTATTTTCCTCTTCATTCTTTTGTCTTCTGTTGTTGCCTCTCCTTTGCCTTCTGAATTCCTCTCTTTCCTTTCCTATAGGCATCGATGTTCTTTACATTGGTCCTCTGAAAGGTGAGCCTCACCACAATCACACACACAGTGTTGGTCTATGCGCTTCAGCTAGAGCTTTATTTCCTAGTTCCTTCCAAGCGGCTTTCTCCTCAGAATCGCTGCCACTTTAATCATATCACGGCTTTGGTACCACGTGTTCTGTTGTATGAGCAGAGTTATTTTGTGTTTGAGGCAGGTAAATAATGTGCTAAGCTTTCCTTCCAGATTGAAGCTTGTGGCTCATTGTGCTTCCTGCCGTAGTGTGTGTCCTCACTGAGCTGAGTCTGAGCCTGGCCTCACAGCCTCCTCTTCTCACTCACTAGGAAGCATATACTCAAGCCCCGGACTTTACAGTAAAACCATGACCCCCACTTACGATGCTCATGATGGAAGCCCCTTGTCACCAACTTCCGCTTGGTTTGGTGACAGTGCCCTGTCAGAAGGCAATCCCGGGATACTTGCTGTCAGTCAGCCGGTAACATCACCAGAAATATTGGCAAAGATGTTCAAGCCTCAAGCTCTTCTTGATAAAGCAAAAACCAACCAAGGGTAAGTTTTTGGGTTTTTGAGACAGGATGTCTCTCTGTAGCCCTTGCTGTCCTGGAACTCTCTGTGTAGATCAGGCTGGCCTTGAACTCACAGAGATCCGCCTGTCTCCGCCTCCTGAGTGCTGGGATTTAAAAGGCATACATCACCAGGCCTAGCCAAGGGTAAGTTTTAAGAGGCCAGGCACAGCAGAGAATGTTCCTGGTGGGTGTGGAATGTTTGGCTAACTTTGTTTGCTTTGCTCAGCGCTCTTCTCCAATTCATCCAGGTGGCTTGACTCCTCAAGATCGCTAATGGAACAAGATGTGAAGGAAAATGAGGCCTTGCTGCTCCGGTTCAAGTACTACAGCTTTTTTGATTTGAATCCAAAGGTACCAAGGACCTAACGGGATCTTTTCTGCCTCTGTTTCTCTTCTCATTTGACTGTTAAGAAACTGTGGCAAGTTTTGAATAATATTCAAAACCCAGACCTTTAGGCAAAGGTGTTTGTATTCTGAATAAAATTAATATTTCCCTAGGTTGGAAGAATGGTTAAACTTTTTTCTCTTTTGATAAGGTAATTACAATTTCTTTGACGTGTTTCAAAGGTACTGGTTACTTTTTAAAAAATTTAACATCTACAATTATATTGTAAGGCAAAGAATAGTTTTCTAAGTTGGGCAGTGGTGGCACACACCTTTACTCCCAGCACTCGGGAGGCAGAGGCAGGTGGATCTCAGTTATTTTAAGACCAGCCTGGTCTACAAAGCAAGTTCCAGGACAGGCTCCAAAATATTTTTCTGAAAAAGTACTCTTTGTATGTTTGTTGGTTTGGTTTGGTTTTTCAAAACAGGGTTTCTGTGTATTGCTTTAGAACCTGTCCTGGAACTCGCTCTGTAGACCAGGCTGGCCTTGAACTCAGAGATCTGCTGCCTCTGCCTTCCGAGTGCTAGGATTAAAGGCGAGCGCCACCAAACTGGGCTTTATATTGTTTTATAGTCTACATTTTATTTTATCTGATAGCTAACCATTGTTACTTAGTTTCTGTGACTGGTGAGTCTGCTCTGCTATAACTTCACTTTTCCTCTACAATTTAACACAGTGAAAGTCTGTCGTTGTTTCTCCCCAGTGATGGGCACAGAGGTTTGCCTCTTTAGGGGAGAGGGCCTGTCCTGGCTCCCTGCTGTCGCCTTCATGTCTGAATGGTACTTACTCTATCTAGAGCAGTGGTTCTCAACCTTCCAATGCTGTGACCCTTCAATACAGTTCCTCATGTTGTGGCAACCCCCAACCATAAAATTATTTTCATTGCTACTTCATAACTAATTTTGATACTGTTATGAATCATAATATAAATATCCATTTTCTGATGGTTGTGGGCCATCCCTGTGAAAGGGTTATTCAAACCCCAAAGGGATCAGGACCTACAGGTTGAGAACAACTGATCTAGTGTCCTATCTTTCATTGTGTGCTCAAATAATTCTTTATATAACATAGATACAGCAAACTGCATGTAATAGAACTATAAATGTTGTATTTTCAGGCCATATCGTATCTGCTTTTAGTTGTAGGTTGGGGATTAGAATGTTTGGTTAGCATTTTAAGAGAACGTTGCTTTTTGCTAATATAATTAAATGGACAGTCTCATGACATAGATACATATACTTGCCAAAAGTGTGTCTGTACTGTCTGTTTTGGATATTTAAAATAGCCCCTCCTCCCAGGGCCTATCTCTTTGGTATTTCTCCTCTGTGAGTGAGGTATTTCCCAAAGTAATTAATTTGCTCTCATACTGGGTTCTGTTGTGGCAAGTTAGAATAACAGTGTTAAAATCTGTATTTGTACCTTATTTTAATTATTTTCAACTAGATTTCTCATTTTCCTCTCTCCTCCCTCTTTCTCCACTGCCTGCACTTTGAGACAGAATCCATCCATTCTGCATAGGCTGCTTGGAACTTAGTATGAAACCCAGGCTGGCCTCAGACTTCTGATCCTTCAGACTCTGGGTGCTGATTACAACACTGTGTCAGTACCCAGTTTTGTGGGCTTTGTTTTGAGACAGGACCTCGCTGGGCAGCCTAGTTGGCCTAGAAATGAAGGATCCCCTGCGTTAGCTTTCCCAGTGCCAGCACAGCAGTCATGGACCACCATGTCTTCCTTCAAGTTAGACTTCTTAGACTGAAACTGTAACACTGAGTTGTTACATGAACCAACCCCCTTTTTTCCTTCAGTGCGAGGGATCAAATCCTCTCTCATGTCAGGCAACCCCTTCCACCTACTGAGCTACATCCCTGAGTATTTTCTTGTCATTTTATGTCATTTTGAATAGAAAATTAGATGTATCTATAGTCATATCTGACACTAATAGATCTCTTCCTTTTTTAGAATTAACCATTTGATAATGAATATGTAATTTTATTCACTTTTTGTCGTGCTTTAAACATGAGTATTTAGCTGGGTGTTGTGGTGCAGGCTTTTAATGGCAACACCCAGGAGGCAGAGGCAGGAGGATCTCTGAATTGAAGACTTGTTAGTGTAAACAGAAAGTTGCAGACCAACTAAGGCTATGCGGAAAAGGTGGGGAGGGGGTGCTAGAGAGGTGGGTCACTGGTTAAGAAGAGCTCTTGCAGAGGACCCGGGTTTACTTCTCAGCACCCTCTCAGTAGCTTACAAGCATCCGTAACTCCAGTTCCAGGGGACCAAACAGACACCAGGCATGCATGCAGTGTACACATGTGCACAGGAGCAAAACACTCATAAGATAAAACAATTTTATTTAGAGACTTACTATTAAGATTTAGGTGTATGTGAGTTCAGGTGCCCACAGAGGCCATAGATAGCAGAACCCCTTAGGAGCTGTAATTACAGACAATTATGAGCCGTCTTACATGGGTGCTAGGAACTGAACTCTGTTCCTCTACAGTAGCACTCTTAACTGCTGAGCCATCTCTCCAGCCTCAGAAATGAATAGTTCCCATTGAGAACTTTCTGGTATTGAAGACTGTTTGTTAAAGCCCGTGTTTCCTTCCTTCGGCAGTATGATGCTATCAGAATCAATCAGCTTTACGAGCAGGCCAAGTGGGCTCTTCTCCTGGAAGAGATTGAATGCACTGAAGAAGAAATGATGATGTTTGCAGCCTTGCAGGTAAGGAAGACAGAGTGGATGATTCTTAGCAGGGAAGGGGAGAGTGGTGTTAAAGTGGCACGTGGGGCTGGCAAGATGGCCCAGCAAGCAGATGCTTGCTACCAAGCATGGTAACTCAAGTTTGATATCTAGTACCTACTTGGTGGAAGGAGAGGACCAGCTCCCAAAAATCTGCTGAGGCTGGGCATAATGGCACGCCTTTAATCCCAGCCCTGGGGAAGCAGAGGCAGGCAGTTCTCTGTGAGTCTGGGGTAGCTAGGGCTACATAGTGAGACTCTTTTTTTAATGCTGTCCTCTCACCTTCATGTGCACACATGAATGGCACATGCATGCACATACTAAATAGATGAAAATTTTTAAACATTAAAAGTGGACATTTACAAAAGTAAACGTGATTTTCTTCTTCTCCCTCTTTTTTTTTGGGGGGGGGGGTTCTAAACAGGGTTCTCTATTGTAGCCTTGGCTGTCCTGAAACTCACTGTATCCCCGACTGACCTCAAACTCAGAGATCCACCTGCTCTGCCTCCCTAGTTCTGGGATGAAAGGTGTGTGCCACCACGACCCAGCTAATGACTATTTTTTTGTTGTTTAAAAATATTTAAGAATAGGGGCTGGAGAGATGGCTCAGAGGTTAAGAGTACTGGGTGCTCTTCCAGAGGTCCTGAGTTCAAGTCCCAGCAACCACATGGTGGCTCACAGCCCTCTGTAATGAGATCTGGTGCCCTCTTCTGGCATGCAGGCATACATGCCAGCAGAACACTGCATACATAATTAATAACCCCCCTCCCCAAAAGACAGGGTTTCTCTCTAGCTTTGGAGGCTGTCCTGAAACTCACTCTGTAGACCAGGCTGGCCTCAATATATATATATATATATATATATATATTCATATATACATATATGAGTCAGTGGTGCGTTTGGTTACTTTCCTATATCTTGTAGAAAAATTGGTCTTTTCCCCTCCCCCCAGTGTATAGTAACTTGAAGCTAACTCAGTTTTCTCTTAGAAATAAAATGCTAATAATATTAAATTGATGATAAGGCACATTGCAAACTGGCGGTGGCAGATATAACACCTTTAAATAATAAGAGTTCAAGAGACAAGGATAAACATAAATGTTTTTACAATATTAATTATTAAGCAGAAAGCTAATGTTTCTTTAAACTAATATTTTTCCACATGTGGGCTTTGGATACCACATGCTTCAGAATTATATTATTACTTATTAAAAAATTAATTCCCATTACTGATCCACCCTCCAGTGGAATGGCTTTAGACAAATCAGTGTGCTTAGAAGCAGTGAGGTCCATTGTCACCAGACTGACTCTCTTCAGATGTCAGTGTGCCTGAGTGGGGCTTTGGCAAGCATTCCTGGCCTGTAATGGGATTCTAGTCTTCCCTAAGGTCCCAGTGCAATTGATATTCTTTAAATAGAAATGGGAGAAGCAAGGCTGGCCCTCACCCTGAGGATTTCACTTCTTTACTCAGAACAGAAAAGCGTCTCGGCCTTCCAAATGCACCAGCGCACCAGGAAGTTCAGTTACAGCCCAAGGTCACTGTTGGAAAGTAGAGGGCACAGGGCAAGTCCTTGCTAGTGGGAGGGTGGGGGCCAATTCATCAGCTATTCCAGAGAGTTGACTAAGCAGCTGGTTAAGAATCTTACCCTGTTTCCGGGTCATTTTGACTATCTGGAGGGCTTCCCGAATTAAATATCAGCACGGTTCCCTGTGAGTCTCCTACTTGAGCAACTCTTTAAATATATCTTTTGTACTTTGGATACAGACTCATTATTTTCTGGTAGAAGTTTTCCCAAAAGCAAGATTAAGACACACAATATCTATCTGTAAAAAGCCATAGATTTATAGCAGTGTTCATAGCCCAAAGTCTTGCACATGCTAAGTGAGCATTGTACCACTGGGCTATATCCCAGCAAGACTTAGATTCTATCCACAGTAATTGAAGGGCCTCAAAGCATAGCCCTCTTGGACCATTTTTGTAGATGGGTAGGTAGGTAGATTATATATCTACATATAATATATAGAGAGGGGGTAAGGGAGGGAGGGACTTTCGGAGTGCAAATCCAAAGACTGACACACATGGCTGTTGGAGCCATCTTGGTAAAAGGAAGACAGACTGTTGTCCTTCCCAGTGTGACCACACTGAATAGGACTTATGTTTCTGCTCTTTGGCATTGAAAAGAAAGTATGGTGAGAAACCTGCAGCCGACACCTTGAACCGCTCTGTTCTTGGGGCACCCAGATCCCCTAGAAAATAGGCTTACTATAGCAAGAAGAAAGAAGATAATTTGGAATAAACTGTGGATAAAAAATACAGTTATCAAGTTAATAAGATAATAACAGGACCTTTTTGTGTCAAGATCTGTCCAGTGCTTTGAAAAATGCAGATTTCAGACTGAGTCTCAGAGTTGCTGAGTCAGGATCGCTAGGGTGGAGGGGGAAGAGGAGGGCCACATGATTCTAATAGTCTCAACTTTTGAGGCCATGCCTGACAGTGATACCTACCTTGTTCTCATTGGTTATCACCAAAGATGTCATATTTTCCCAACTTGAAGGTATAACCACTTACTACTGAGTCTTAGAATGCAGGACACTGGTAATTGGCCTCGGGTCCATGCATTGAGTATCCCCACATCACATAGATGGATGCTTCAGAAGTTCATGGTCGCTTGTGCTTTGAGAAGCAGATAATGAGAGTAACATCAGGTTCTGTTGATCTCTCCATAAAACCTCTCAGGCTTGACATTAAAACTTAATAGATTTTTAATATTTTTGACTCACCAAGTGTATTTAAAGCAACTGTTTTATACTTTAGAAAATTCTATACCAAAGACTGTTTCCTAGCTGGACAGATATGTTGTCTAACTGCACTCACACATTCTCTGTTCACACATATGAACAGTTTCTTATTCTTAGATAGCTGAGACTATGAACTGGGGAGAGTGGCGCTAGCTTCCGCTTCTCCTGAAGTTATTATCATGGTAGTTAGTACTTTTCCCCAAGTGATTTGGACTGTAGGCCAGTGAGGGTTAATTTTCTCTAGGATGTGAGACAAGCAGGTGAGTTCATCCCCACAGAAGACTTCACGCCTGGCCTGAGCCCTAGTGGGATTTGCTTCTGTACGAGGCCCTGTTCTTGGGTTTCCTATAAGAGCAGCAGTGCTTTTAGCCACTGAGCCATCATCTGTCCAGCATCCTCCCCCAGATGCCTTATCTTTACAAATCAGATGCTAAAAAATATCCAATATAGAGTCAGGATATTTTCATCTTAAAGTTCTGCAACTGAACAGTCATTTCAACAACATGTTATTCTGGTTTCAGTATCATATCAATAAACTATCAATCATGACCTCAGAAAATCATCTGAACAACAGTGACAAAGACGTTGATGAAGTTGATGCTGCCCTTTCTGATCTGGAGATCACTTTGGAAGGCGGGAAAACATCAACAATTCTGGTAGGGTGGATCTTTAGCTAATGACTTTAATTAAAGCTTACCTTTTTGGGTTTTCCATTGCCAGAAAAGGGACCTGGAAGGTGGAGAAAAGTGTTCAGTTCTTTACAGAAGTCTGTCATAGATTTTTCAGAGTTTTTTTTGTGGTGGGAGGATCAACCCAGGGCCCCACTCTCCACCCCAGGAAACCTCCTGAGGAAATAGTGTCACTAGCCCCTAGAGCTTCCCACACTGAAACTCTGTCTAAACATTGTTTTGTGAGTGGTGGGAAGGCATTCCTCTAGGAAAGGCAGCATCAAGTCTCTAAAGTAGTCTTGATACACTAAAGAAAGGAGAAATGAGCCTCTCTGTCCCCTAAATACTTCTGGTTTTTAAAACTAAGGAAGGAGTTATTGCTGAAGAAACATTTTTCTTGGTGCCATTATGAGTTACAACATTTCCATATGTTGCTATAGAACATTTCAGCTATAATTTAGAAGTAACAATACATTCTTGGGGGCTATACAAATGTCATTGCCTTTGTAACAAGACCATGTAATATGATCATATCATTAGTATCTTTAGCATCTGTATTTTGAATATTAAATAAGCAGTTTTTAAAATCAGATACCAAACTAAATTTGAAAGATTAAGAAAAATATTATTTTAATTCTTTACCTAGGGTGATATTACATCAATTCCAGAACTTGCTGACTATATTAAAGTTTTCAAGTAAGTACTAAAGTGGGAGGGACTTCAAATAACAATAAGAGCTGTCAGTTTTATAGTCATGTTCACATTTAAATTTACAGTAATTTTGTCAATTATTTGTAAAACAAATCTGTAAGATTTACCAATTAGATAAATACTTAAAACTAAGATATTCATGCTGGGTGTTGGTGGCACAAGCCTTTAATCCTGTCACTCGGGAGGCAGAGGCAGGCGGATCTCTGTGAGTTCCAGGCCAGCCTGGTCTCCAGAGCAAGTGCCAGGATAGGCTCCAAAGCTACACAGAGAAACCCTGTCTCAGGGGAAAAAAAAAAAAAAAACACTAAGATATTCATGTTAACCAAACCAAAACCACTACAATCATTATTTTATTTGATCTTAAAATCCGCAGGGCTGATTGTATCCTACAGTTGGTAGTAGGGGTCTGTGTTAAAAGTGGTGTCTTTGCTCAGAGATCCAGACTCCATTGGCTTATGTTCATAAGCTGCTGGGCCCTTTCCTGTATGGTCCCAGTGAATTTTTCTAGACTTTTAAGGAGTCCACTTGTAATCCTCAAAACCGAGAACTGAGCAGTGAAGCAGGTGGGAGACAGATGCTGGGAGACAGATGTGGTGCCGCTTTCCTGCTGGGTGCTCTGGGAAATGGACGGTATAAAGCATTTCCTAAGGCTGAAAATACCACAGCTCCCAGTATAATACGCTTCTGAGACAAGGGCAAGAGTTCAAAACTTCCCTTTTCCTCGCTTTCCGGTTACCTGTACCTTCACTGTGCCGCCATCTGTGTTTGGCCCTGGAGTGGCATGTCTGTGCTGTGACTGACTCTTCTTTCACTGCAGTCATGCTGAGCACATATGATGTAGAGGATTCAGCAGCAATAATGCTGTGGACACCACTGCATGTGCAGGGGTTTGGTGGTGGCCATGGACCTTTCCAAATGGACAGCTTTAAGTGACAAGTGTGGGGCTGTGGGTGCTCTATCCTCCCGCTGTTTGAACACACAGTCTGCAGGAAAACACTGGCCAAAGGCCAGTAAAATTGGCCCGTGTTTCTCAGCACTGAGAAATTTAACTGCTAAAACAGCCTTGACAGAGTTACTTCAAGTGGTTATTGTCTCAACTGTTTGCCACGTAGGCCTAAAAAGCTGACTTTAAAAGGGTACAAGCAGTACTGGTGCACCTTCAAAGACACGTCCATTTCCTGCTATAAGAGCCGAGAGGAGTCCAGCGGTACACCTGCTCACCAGATGAACCTGAGAGGTATGGAGCCTTGTGTGACCTGTGAGACATCTGTCAGTTGGTCCTCAATACACTTCACTTGGCAGGGCCACTTAGCGCTCTCTTTACATCTTTGGGGTCTTAGCAGTATTTTTGATTCTCCACTTTGTACGTGGCTATTTTGTTGTGATCTCTGGGCGGACCCAAGCTGAAGCACATGACATTTACCTCACTTGTCAAGTAAATTATGATGTTCTTTTCTCATCTTGAGCATTAAGAACATTAGGGTTCCCTCACCTGCAGCCGTGCAGCTGTTGTGTCTGCATTTCTTGTTTCTCCCTTGTCGCTGCTGATTCTTCACCCTTGATTACTGCAGAGCTTTTAACCTATTTCCCTGGCACAGTGTCTTTAGGGAGGTGGCTCCAATCTCCCACTTCCTCATCCAGTTCTTTTGTCTTTACTTTTCTCTCCTCCAGCTGGAATTGGAGGCATGAGTCTCCTCACTGAGCAGCTGCAGCCTGGGCCACTCTTCAGTGAGGGCTGAGCTGTTAGTGCTCTTTTTTTACTTAATATTTTTTAAAGCTTTATCGTGTGTGTGTGTGTGTGTGTGTGTGTGTGTGTGTGTGTGTGTGTGTGTGTGTGTGTGTGTGCTGTCAAATTCATAGGGACAGAAATAAATGGGTACAGGTACCTGAGTAGTCTACAAGAGGGTATCAAACCCACCAGAGCTGGAATAAGAGGCAGTAATTTGGGAACTGAATTCTTATTCTTTGCAAGCCTCCTGTCCGTATGTATCCTTAACTGCTGAGCTGTGCCTCCTCCAGCCCCTAGCTGGATCTTTTATTCATTCAGGCCTGTGACTGGAGCTAGAGCTTCATTTGGCATTTTTGGTGGTCTCTGTCACTTCATTTCTTTCTCCTGGCTCGGGTGGAAGGAGTCTTACCTCTCCATATGGGGAACTGGAAGTGGTATTTAGGAGTGTTTGTCTGGTATGTGTGAGACCCTGGGTTCAGTTCCCAGCACCCTTTGGAAATCACTGCCAGTTTGGGTGGTGGTGATTTAGAAAGAGTCAGAAGGAAGGAGCTGGTGAGAGTTGATGCTTTTTATTCTTCCATAAGTGAGGGTGTGAGTGTCATTGTGTAAATGGGGTCTGGCTCAAGATGCAAAGAGATCGTAGTAGAGTTCACTTGTAAAGGGTGTGCTGGGAATGTGTGAGAGGCCCTGGGTTCCACCTGAACACCAAAGTAAATAAAATAAATCTGCAGGAAGCCTGCCTGAGGAGCAAAGACAGCCAGCCAGCTGCTGGAAAGAGCCTTCCAAGCAGACACTCCGAGCTGGTGCATCTGGGAAGAAAAGGGATATGAGGTTGGAATAGAACAGGGTTTAGGGAGAGAATAGTTAAAATGTGGAGAATGGGTCAAGGCAAATCCATGGTTCCGTTTTTGATATCTTTTGGGGGATAATTACAGAATTATGAGCTCTAAATCACCTTGAGAAACCAGTCAGATTTGTGTATCTTCACACGTCTGTCTTAATTTCACCACACAACTTCCCCCTTGTTTGAAAAGTTCTACAAAGGGCAACTGTTGGTATGTAGTAATGTCCCTGGAAAGAAGAGAGAACTCTTTACCTAAAGTACTCTTTCCTTTAGCACTTTAAACAAAGTGGCCATTTGGATTCTTATAGTTCATAACTGTATGTATTTCTGAATCCTTAGCTCTAGAGTATCATTTCAGTACCAAAGCTGCATTGGTCACCTTCCACCGGATGAAGGTGTTCTTAAAATATTGTGGCAGAGTTCAGCAAATAAAATCTCACAAAATGAGGCTATTATGTTGGCTCAGGATTTCCTTTATGCACTTTTATAATTAAATTTATTATTACAGGATGTGAAGTTACCCCAGATGTGAACATTTCGGGCCAAAAATTTAACATTAAACTCCTAATTCCGGTTGCAGAGGGCATGAATGAAATTTGGCTTCGTTGTGATAATGTAAGTTTTCCAATTAAACCTCACCTTTCTTTAACTCCCGTGAGAGCTGGCCAGCTGTCCCTACATTGTATACCTAGGTCCGGAGCACCATGTGGCTTCATCCCTCCGCGTTTCTTTTCCACAGGAGAAGCAGTATGCACACTGGATGGCAGCCTGCAGATTAGCTTCCAAAGGCAAGACCATGGCAGACAGTTCTTACAACTTAGAGGTTCAGAACATTCTCTCCTTCCTGAAGATGCAGCATCTGAACCCAGATCCCCAGCTAATCCCAGAACAGATCACAACCGACATCAATCCTGAGTGTCTGGTATCCCCTCGATACCTAAAGAAGTATAAGAACAAACAGGTATCTCGTTCTACTTAATTTGCTGGTTTTATAATTTTACTCACATGCTTTAAATACTGTTTCTGCTCTTAAATGAAAGTTACCGGCGTTGTAGAACATAAAACAGGAAATGGGGGAGGTCAGTTTAAACTGGTTGTTAATCTTCTATAAAGTTAATAGGCTAGATACTGGGAAGCGGTGCCAAGAGCCTGTTTATTCTACACAACCCCACGAGGTCACTCTCAAAGAAAGGACTGTCAAGAACTGAACCAGTCTTAAGGGCCCCGATTCTTTGGTTCCCTATGGATATGACAGAAAAGCACGTCAGCACTTCCCCAGAGTATCTTTAATACTTGTATAGCTGAGGTAGATTAACTGGCTTTTAGAAATAAAATGTTACGTGGTAGAGATAGTTTGTCCTCCATCACTGTCTTAACACTAATAGAACCTAACAAATCTGACACAGAGTTACAAAGTTTGATGAATTTTAACTTAAAATTTATGGCCTTTGTCCACCCTCTTTGGAATTCCTGTTCTGGAAATTAATACCATAAAAGGTTTGCTATTCAGGAAAATGGCACTTTGGTAACCACACAAGGTCCTCAGCAGGGAAATTCAACTGGAGAGCCCCTAGGATTCTCTACACTGAACAGCAAGCCATAAAAGGAAAGGCTTCAGATCGGACAGGGAGCAGAGAAGACCTCTAAAATAAATAAGTCATTTTTATTGAGCTTTGTTTTTATCTTTAAGGAATCATTCTAAAACATTAAAGTCCAAATTAAACAGAGCATTACCTTCCTTAAATTTAAGCATAGTTTTCTTAAATGAATCTGAAACAGTTTCGCTTTCCACAGAAATGTTCAGAACGTTGATCGGGAATGGTCTGTCTGTGTGGTTAAGGCCATTTCCTCGACAGGGACATTGTTTACCCCAGAGTCATGGGCTTTGGGAGTGAGTGGTGAGGAATGGCGGACATGCTGCCCCGCCCCGGGGAGCCTTGTGGAATGCAGATATGTTAGAAAGGAGGGGGAGGAGGCACCGGCTTTCTTCCAACTCACTGAAGAGCTGTGTGCCAAGAGACTAGTTTCTGTAAGTGAACTCATTTACCTTCAAATGATTTCAAACCTTAGCGGTTCTGTTATTTTGATGTCAGGTATCCAGAGATGATAGTTTTCTGTCTTTGAGTTGTAGACAAAATGTGACCTAAAATCCTCTGTCTGTCGTCAGTGTCAGGAAATCAGTGTATGGCCTGTGGTTAAGGACTGTTCCGGGCTTTGGTCTTACTGAGTAAAATACTCAGACCTGTCTGAGTAGCCTCTGAGCTTTATCCCCTTTGCATGGCTTCCAGGCAGGAGATAAGATAGATTATTGGCTGCAGGGGACCCTGCCACAGCGGAGGCTCCTTCAGCATAGTCTCTGATACTTAATCTGCTTTTCTTCCCCTAATTATGCATATATTAGCTAAACTTTCCAGGATTCTTTTGAGTGGGTATGAATTTTTAACTGTAAATAAAAGAATTATTCTGTCATCCCAAACTGAAAAGACATGCGTGGCCACAGCTCCTAGGGCCCTGTTTGGCAAACTTTTTGTTTCTCCTTCCAGGAAAAAGGATGCAAAAAGCAGATGGTAATTGGGGCCTGCAGCCCTTTTGTGCAAATAAAGGAACAGTGTGGTCGCTGAGCTCTTAATGCAGCCCTTAGCTCCCTTCTGAGGAGCTGAGCATGTGCCATGTCATCTTACTAAACCTGAGAAAGCTGTCATGGCTTTTGATTAGTGGTTTTTATTTTGCTACTAAAATAATTAGCTTTACCTTCACCATAAGAACTGGCACCTGAGGGGAGAAAGAGGGACTTGCCCGTTTCCTTCTGTGAGCTTCCATCTTTAATCTGAGTGACACTTACATCTGCAGTGTTGCACTTCTCTGTATTTGAATGGATAGTAATTGCTACTTCCTCCTTTTCATTCTCATTCTTGCATTGACTTGCATTCCACCTGAGTGGTCTTCTTTCTGCATGGTTTTCTGCTGGAATTTTGGCGTGCAGCTGCTGCAACCTTTTCTTTGCTTCATTGCTGTTTTCCTGATCGCCTCTTTTTTTTTCTTTCTGCTCCCTTTTTCTTTCCTCGCATTGCCATCTACAGCCAGGCTATGTAAGAGATTTGGTAAGTTGGTAATATGGAGATATTTACAAAGAGACAGAAATTCAACATTGTAAAGCCACACTCAAAGCCACTCCTATCTGGTCCCTTACCCCACCATGGGAGAATTCATCCTAGTGCATACAGATAAATTAGTTCAATTCTGGTTGACTGCTATAATAGACACATGGATGGCACTCACTATCTTTTCATGTTCGGTCTCTAGACTGGAGCCCCATGCATATTGTTGCTAAACTTCAACAAGCATCTGTATATGCATCTGAATGTGTTTTCTTGTCATCGCTCACCAGTGTCTGTCCACTTGGAACATTTCTCAATCCTGCTAGTCATACACTAGAACAATGCTTCTTGTGTGATACACAAAGCTGAAATTAACATTGTTGCTTTATTGAAATGCCCAAATGAACCTTTGGATACTTTTAATTCCAATTCAATATGACTTATGGGGTACATAATTAGATTTTTATCTTGTTTCTATCACAAAAGATATAATCTAATTGTTTACTTGATCGTGTTTAGATAACAGCAAGAATATTGGAGGCCCATCAGAATGTAGCCCAAATGAGTCTGATTGAAGCCAAGATGAGATTCATTCAAGCTTGGCAGTCTCTGCCTGAATTCGGCATCACACACTTCATTGCGAGGTCAGTGTGCTGCTGTAATCTCTGTATGTTGTTTACCTATTTCATGTACTCACATCTTAAACATGGAAAGCAAAGCTCATTAGACACACTAACCTCTTCTACAGCAAAACTTCAAAATGGTCTGTTCTAGGCTGTTCATTTTCTCATTAACAACTCAGAGTATCGTGTTTCTATCTTTATTTGTTCAGTTGTTCTTAGGGTTGGGGAAAACCTCCCTCCCCTATTCTGAGGGGTTTTTCTTCAAAATTACAGATTCCAAGGCGGCAAGAGAGAAGAACTTATTGGAATTGCATACAACAGATTGATTCGGATGGACGCCAGCACGGGAGACGCCATCAAAACATGGCGGTTCAGCAACATGAAGCAGTGGAATGTCAACTGGGAGATCAAGATGGTAAACTAGCAATGGGTTTCTGCCGCTGAGGGTGCACTCATAGTTCAGTGGATCTGGATTTGTTCCCCCACACTTCAGAAAAACAAAAAGGGGGAGTCTTAAATCCTGGAGATTGGGTTATGTGAGGTAATTTGGCTGTGATACTTTATACCCCCATTAACTGCTAGGGCGCATTCGGCTTGTGTGGCTAGTGAGTTCTGGTGCCCCCCTTCACCTCTCATACTTGTTAGTGGGAGAATACAGCCAGCCTTCTTTCTGCCAAGGGTATACGAGCAGCTGTGCTCCCATGCTCTACAACCTTCAAACAAGCTTTCAAAGGCCACCATTAGGTAGGAAGCCAAGCTTCCAAGACTCCAGCCTCATCCAAATGAGGCTCTGCACAGGGTAGTCTCTGTTTGTTTACAAATAAATTGGAGTGGAGAGATGGCTCAGCAGCTAAGAGCACTTGCTGTTCTTCCAAAGGACCTAGGTTCAATTCCCAGCACCCACAACCAGTTCCAGGGGATCTGACACCCTCATCTGGCCTCATAGACATGTATGCAGACAAAACAGAAAAAAAAAAAAAAAAAAAAAGCCCTAGGGATAGCACTTGCCTAGCATTCCTGAAGCCCTGGTTGGTGGAGCATCTTGGAGGGAACAGAGTGCCAGGTCACTTCCACTGCATAGCAACTTAGAGGCCAGCATGGGCTATGGAAGACTGTCTTAAAATATGAATAGTAAAAAAAAAAAAGCCCAATCCTTAGGATTCAAGTGTAGACCATGATGCTATCTCTCCATAATAACTAAATCCCTTATAGCAGCAGAGTTTGTGTCCCATGCCTCTTTGGGCCAGGCATGACACTAAATGTTTGCATTTATCCTCATCTCAAAGCCTAACATGGTTATTATCCATGCCCACACTTAGTGATTGGCTCAGTGTTCAAACAGTTTGTTTTTGGTCTCTGAATCCTGGTGCATGTACCACTATGTAGCCACTATGGTGCCCTTTTTCTTTTTCACATGGACATCATATGAAACAGTCTTACCTGGTAGAGGTGTTTGGCTTGGCAGATTGGATATGTTGTATCAGTTGCTAACAGAAAAACTCATCTTTCTGAAATATTTAAACATGATACCTAAAGGTTAAATACTGGAGCAAATGTTAAATAAAACACAGGAAGTAGATTTTCTCCCAGGACCTGAAGAAAGACATTCTCAATAATTGCATTACCATAGACCACTTGGGAACTTAATGGCTTAAACCCCTTGAGAACTTGCAAACTAAAGGAATGGGGGAAGGGATGATACAGTTTTCAGTTTTCTTACTGTTAGTTACACAGACATTATTGCTGTTCTTGGATAATTATCTGGGGAGTGGCAGCAATTCAGTGGACACCTACAAAATGAACTTACAGAAGCTCCTGGGGACACTGATGATTCTTTGTCTCTGTTCCAGGTCACTGTGGAGTTTGCAGACGAGGTCCGGTTGTCCTTCATCTGTACTGAAGTAGACTGTAAGGTGGTCCATGAGTTCATTGGTGGTTACATATTTCTCTCGACTCGTGCAAAAGACCAGAATGAGAGTTTAGATGAGGAGATGTTTTACAAACTCACCAGTGGTTGGGTGTGAATAGGAAAACTGTGTAATGAAACTCCACAGCCATAACAATATTTAACTTTAAAGCTATTGTTTCCTATATGCTGCTTAATAAAGTAAGCTTGAAATTTATCATTTTATCATGAAAACTCTTTGCCTTATCAGACCGGTTAATATGTGCACTAACAAGCACGGTTATTAATCTGCTACCGTGATGCAGTATGTGGACTGTGGAATACCGAACATTCCTCAGGCCATGAATTGAAATCTGAAGTAATGGGTGAATCAGGAGCCAGCTGTCGCTGATTGACACTAGCCAAACTAAGAAACAAGCCATCTACTACCAAGTTATCCAGGGTGTAACCTATATGAAGTCTATTTATCATGTATAATGCATGTGTTTAATGTATGTTTCATTTGATGCCCTCTCTTAAAATACCCTACTTCTGGTAGCCAATCAGTCCCCTCTCCTAATATAAAATCGGGTCTGCAGTAGATGCTTGGTATTCGATGATGTCATTGACCTTGAAGGAAGTGCTGTTGATCTGTTGTTGTGCTTGACTGGGTTTGTCCTTGAATAAGCATGTTGTACATTGTTTTGTGTTTATTTTTACACCATACTGTATTACAACACTCTTAGTATTCACCAGCATATTCACTATCTGCCTAAAATATGCAACCTTTGTGTTACAATATGAAGTAAAGTTCTATGAAGTATGCATTTTGTGTAACTAATGTACAAACACAAATTTTATAAAATTGTACAGTTTTTTAAAAACTATTCACAACTAGGAAATGGCTTAAATGTAGCATCGTTGCATTAATTAAATGCTTTTAAAGTGTATAATTAATATGCAGTTTCAGTATCTGCTAAATTAAGAATGCCTTCATGATGGTCATGACTTGCCGTGATGCCCTTAGCTCTGCCCCTGGACTGGCTGTGCTCTGGTCTGTTGCGCTGTTACAGTCTGCATTGGTGCTAGTTAGAAAACTCCTAGCTCACAAGCCCAGAGGGCGCCAGAAGGGGTAGACTTACCAGTATTGTCCAATAATCCATGACTTAAAGACTGTATAAATGCATTTTATTTTAAATAAAAGCAAAACCTTTTATTTAACATGTTCTTTTTGTGCTTCTGATCTCTCAACACTACCTACCTCTGTGTTGTTAGAATGGCCACCGGTGCTAGACCAGGTCCCAGATGAAGTCTTTGTCTCTAAGGTGCATTCTTTGCTGTTCTCCATTTAGACTCCAAACTTTGAATTGTGTACCTTCCCTTGACCCTGTCAGCCTATTGCTTTTTCTCTAATACACATGAAGCAAAAACCTAAACCTAATGTGGTTCTCCACCTTCCTAATGCTGTGACGCTTTAATATAGTTCCTCGTGTCATGCTGACCCCCAACCATAAAACTATTTTTATTGTTACCCCATAACTATAATTTTGCTACTGTTATGAATCATAATGGAAATATCTGTGTTTTCTGATGGTCTTTAGTGACCCCTGTGAAAAGATCATTTGACCCCTAAAGGGTTAAGACCCATGGGTCAGAACTAACTGCTGCTCTTGACATTTCACCCCATCGTCCGTACTATCCCCAGCCCTGCACCTACTCTTCGCCTGTCTGAATTTTCCTGCCTTTAGAAATTTTACTGTTTGTAGTTTTTCTTCCTAATACTTCTAAGTTGCCTTGGAGCCAAGTGTGCTCTTTGCCTTCTCTGAGCTGCCAGCTGTATTTAATGGATGCCAGGGCAGAGCTTGACTGGGGCCCAGGTTCCTATCCCTCTGTCCAGTCATGAGGAAAGCAAGCCACCTGAGCCCCAGAGAAGCCTATGGGCCGCAGCCTCAAACAGGAAAGGCACTTTGCAAGAACACTGGCTAGGATGCCCAGAAACCTACCTTTGAGTTTGTGTTCCCTGTGATTAAAGTTCACAAAGGCACAGGAACAGGGACTAGCCGAGCTCCATCCAAATCTTGTTCTCAGTCCACAGGCTGGTGGCCTGTTAGATGCTCCTGACAGTCATGTCAACCCTGACCAACTACTTCTTTGTAACCTTGAAAGAAAGACATTTGCAGTTTTTAACTCTCCAATGTCACACGTCCAAAAGGCAAAGACAGGGCAGACCATTTCTTGTTGTGTTGTTTAGTTGTGGTTTATGTCTTACTAAAAGGTTTTAAGCTGGGCAGTGGTAACACACACCTTTGATCCCAGCACTTTGGAGGTAGAGACTGGTGAATCTCTTGAGTTTGAGGCCAGCCTGGTCTACAGAGCAGGGTCCAGGACAGCCAGGGCTACATAGAGAAACCCTGTCTCAAAAAAAAAAAAAAAAAATAAGTCTTAAAAATTAGCAGTAATAAGGAAGGATGAGGCCAGCCTCCCCAGTCCTGTCCCTTAACTAAAAGAGGGTTTGGTGTTTTGGTGTGAACACTAGCGGTAGTGAACACAATAGTAAAGCATGTTTTTCCACTTCTCTGTTCTATGCCCGTATCCAAGTCACTTGGAACACGGGACTGTCCTTAACATGAGAGAGCTTTCTAAATCTGTCCCTTTGCTTCACATCACATATCGGGACTGCCTGTCCAGAGAGCATGATCTGCCCAACCACCATGTACCCTGGCTAAATTTTGCCATGTCCAAAACACATTTGTGGTGGCGGCCACTGTACCACCTCCTCTCTTTGTAGCCATGTAGCCTCAGCACAGAGGCAAGGATGAGTTGACCTGCTTTATGGGGGTAGACCTAAAAGGCTGGTATAAGAGAAACAGATCCAGTTTTTATTCTGCAGAAGAACCACCAGTGCCCTTTACACAGCAATTCAGGAAGCTGTCCCTTCCTGGGAGCTCTGAGCTGTTCAGCAAATTAACTGAGTCTTTATCTGGCAGCTCAAGAAGCGGGGGATTGACAGGAAATGGGAAATCAGAGTAAGGGCAGTGAAACTCTCAGTGGATTGCAGAGCCACCCAGAACAGGAAACAGAAGCCAGAAGCTTATCTAGTGACCGTATTTCCCACTGTGCAGAATTCCTCTACTTAATTAAACAGTATAAAGTTTCCCAGGCTGAGCACACACATGTCAAGTGCCCCTTCTCTTAGTAGATTCACTCCCAGTTCAGTTTCCCTTTGGTTGTTTGTGCCTGGGCCTAAGTATTACTAAAAATTACAAGCACTTAAAAATAATTTGAGACCATTATTTCATGAGATCTAATTATAGTCTCCTGTGGCTTCACTGGTCAGGCATTATTCATATTACTGCTCCGGGAACAGGTCCAAGCTCAATGTTAATTAAATTTGTGATTACAAACAGCACAATGAACCAAACAAGTTTAAAGTCATGTCTGATCAAATGTGGCCAGTTCATGAAAAGAAAACATTGAGCATGGAATTCTGACCTCAGGTTTCTAAGCTTCCAAGAAAATTAGGTGAACACATCCACTCTGAATCCTCCTCATAGCTATACATACAGCCTTTCAGCTTCTTGCCTAATTACGAACTCAGCACTCAGAACACTTGGAAGAGCCAAAATGCTCCAGAGAAATAACAGCAGAGGGGACCAGCTTTGCCAAATAGCAATTAACATAAAGCCCTATTGAGGGAGGGCAGTTCGGGACAGGAGTGAGAACAAAGCATAAAACATGGATACAAAAATACCATTAACAACTCCACCTTCCAGTTTGAATAAGTTATATCCTAACTTTAAAAATTAAAAGTTAGAAAAACACAGAAAGTGCTGAGTGTGGTGGTACACACCTTGCCTGCCTTTGACCCCAGCACCCTAACAAGCAGAGGCCAGTCTGATCTACAATAGTGAGTTCCAGGGCTACACAGTGAGACTCTGACTCAAAAAGAAAACCACAGACAACAACAAAAAGCATGGTGTCGACACAGATGATAGAGACACTGAAAGAGTCGAAAGACTTGGAACTGTGTGCAGAGGAACTTCTTTCTGAGATCATCACAAAAGATTTCCCTAAAGGGTTTGGACCACAACCTCATCTAATTATGCAGTTATCCAAATCAGTTCCAGGTGGATCAAGGACTGAAATTTGTACAGCAAAATGCTCTCATGGTCTGAGTTAAAGTATATTGGTATAAGATCCTGTGGACAGTACACAGTGCGAGCTAATTACATTGTGAGGAACACTAAACTATAGGGTTTAAGGCAAAAAAAAAAAAAAAAAAAAAAAAAAGGGTTAAGGGAAAAAAAAAAAAAAAAAAAAAAAAAAGTCAGGAAGATGATGAATTTAAAGCCAGCGTGGACTGTGTAGTAAAATTTTGTCTCAAAACAAGAAATAAAAGCTGGGCGATGGTGGTGCACACCTTTAATCCCCGCACTCCTGAGGCAGAGGCCGTCAGATCTCTGTGAGTTCAAGACCAGCCTGGTCTACAAGAGCTAGTTCCAGGACAGGCTCCAAAGCCACAGAGAAAACCCTGTCTCGAAAACCTGAAAAAAACAAAAACAAAAAAAATGTGGGGAAGGTACTGTAACATAATTGACTGAAGATAAGCACTCACACTATAAACATAAGCACACGTGTCTGTGCTCACACAGACCAGTCCAAAAGGAAATGGACCAAACCCTAAGATAGTCACTTCTCAAGAGTGGAAGCCTGAAATGAAAAGCTGCCCACTTCACAGTATTCTGGAAAATGGGCACTTTGTGAGTATTGAGGACTGCACCAACCCAGATATGCAATAGACACAGGCTCTACCACACTGCTCCATCCCCAGTGCCACCAACTGTAGTCTATTGCCTATCATATTAGTAACAGTGAGGATCTGACAGTGTCAAGCGTTGCTAGGATAAAGATATTTATTGGTGCAATTTTAAATTGTAGTATCACTAGAAGCATCTGTTGTCTCCTGGTAAAATCACGCACACAGCCGAGGATCTCGACCCCATTATTAGGAATGTATGTATCTGAAGAAAGGAAGTGCATATTCACGCTCCCCGGGAACCATGCTCTAGGACATGCAGAGCCGTGCGGTGGCACGGGTCTGTGATCCCATCTCCTGAAGCAGGAGAATCACAAATGCCAGCCTGAGCAAATCAGACTTTCTGAACACCTGTGTGTAATTGTGTGACTCTGGCACCTGGGATGTAGAGACAGTGGGATCAGGAGTTCAAGATCAGCCTAAGCTAACTAGGCATCTCTTCCCCATTTCCTGTACCCCACCCCAAACCCACCCCCAAAAAAGGAAGGAGGGAAAGAAAAAGAGCAAACTGGCAATGTAGCTCAGTGGTAGAGTGCTTGCCTGACATGCAGAGTCCTATGTTCAATGTCTAATGCTGAAGAAAACAACAAACAAACAAACAAAAAACAAACAAAAAACCCATGGAGCTCACTACATAAAGCAGCAATGACTTGGAAACAAAGATATGTAACAGTAGAACCAAGAATTACATGTTCCAGCTGGCAGAAAGCATAATGTGGTTAGCTTTTAAACATTCAGGGTTTCAAACTGTGAAGCAAATGAGAAGTGGCAAGTGTTTGTCACTGTAGAGGACAATGCTTTTGAATTTTCATTATTGTTGAGAAGGAAGGGATGAGCACCTGACAGTCCTCCCCTTCCACCCTTACATGGGTTCCAGAATCTAAGGTTCTTAGGCTCGAGTGACAGGCATTTCACCCCACTCACCATCTTGACAGCCTCCAAACCATACTGAAAGACTTTTTAGTTCTGATGTCCCTTATGTAACAGAGTGGCACTAAGTCACCAAAGA